GGTACGAAAAGTGCAAAAACGCATAATCGCACCGGCCCGCCTGGTGCGTTCCAGCCTGGGTTTGATTTCTGAGTTGATAATTTTTTCGCCAGACTTTAACGTGGCTGTGTATGAGAATGAGGTGTATTTCGGATTCGAATTTGGAATCATTAGATCGCACGCAGAGACACAGAACATCTCCCCGAAATTTTAGCTTACTTGGTTCTTGAGTTAGCAATTTTCTCGTCAAGACTTTTACGTGCCCGCGTGTGGGGCTTCAGACGTGCATGAAGAAAAGACCTGTAACGTTCGTGAGGTCGCGTTTGGCCAGGGAATTTGTTGGCAAAACTTCAGCGTCCAAGTTTACGAGGTTGCCGAAATGAAAAAGTCCCGAACAGACATACACATACTATTGATCGTCATAATATGTCTGCTACAGCGCTTTAGCGCTTCACAGCAAAAATGTATAAAAAGCAAATTCTGGGTTACCAGACCACAACACCATGGCTGACAAATGATCAAATTTTCGGTATGTTCAGCCGAATACATAAGCTCCTACCTCTTCTAAAAAATTAGTGTATTTTCCCCAATAATATGCATGAAGATAAACGTAGTTGCTGATCCACACTTTTTATCATATTAATCTAAACACGGCAAGTATACATTCAAAAAAAAATAAGTAATATGGACAACGGGCAGGCACACACTTTAGGAGTGCATTTTTCCATAATAAAATTTCTTAAAAAAAACTGCCAAGTTATGAAATTATAACACTTCGGCATATGACGCAGTACTAACGCAGTTCCAAATAGGGAGATGCCTACTTGCTTTGTTGCCCTATGTGCAGCAATTAAAGATCGAAAATTACAAAATTTGATAAATCATGAAAATGCGAAATCTGATAAATCATGATACTGACAACAATGACAATATTGCTGACATTTCGAAATTTACGATTCTAGTACCTATCACTGCACTAAGATAGTCTGAAATTTCCTTTCCTTTCCACTGTACGTCATTTTCCCGCCCGGGAGGTAGTTACGAGATCGAAGAACACGAAATACAGTGAGATTAACATTGCAAAATCTATTTTACTCAACTGAACAAGTTCGGTTTCTTCATTTTTTTGCGCTGCATTGAAGATTGTGTGTTTTTCATCCAATCTGGCACACTTCTCTTCTTCGCTTCACCGGGGGAAGCAGAAGTTGTATTACTAGTGGTATCGCCAACTTTCGAATCTTGCTCAGTGCCGTATTCGTATTCTAAGATGCCAAAGATGATTTTTAGTCGATTATAATCAATGAATCCTTCCGGAAGTTTTTCCATGATTGGCTTTAGCCGTACGATATCTGCAACAGTGCTCCTTTTCCTACCATAACTTGTTAACTGTTAATAATTTTTCACTTAGTTTTAACAATTATTACATTGGAAAACAATAAGAAGCCAGAGGGAAAATAATCGGATACAGAACCTGCATAAAATTACTAGAATAGAGGAATT